GCCTGCCACATGCGATCTCTCAGTTTGGGTTCCACATCTGCAGTATGGTGATAATTCTAGCCTACTGTATAAAACAGCTGTAAGAATTCAATGTACATGAAGTGCTTTGGAAATTCAGTAGCACTGTTAGCAGCAATCACAAGGAATGCAGAGAGAGAAAACTCCCCTGGTCACAAGTAGGAGACACGTAGTGACCTACATTATATTGACAGAACGGGGAGGGCAGGATGGAAGCATAAGGATGGCAGGATGTACATCATGAACTGGATTGTCAGGATGACAGGAGCAAGCCTGTACTTTCTAGCAGCCATTCGTGCCTACTCTGTAGTAATTTGAAAGGAATTTTAAAACTCCAGCTAATGGATCTGTAGCTCACAATTACAGTCACAGGAATCTCAAGACTACACATACTAATTGACCAAATGGCAAATTTGTCACATCACTAAAAAAGTGTGCATCAATACTTCCTTCCAGTTGGTCACTTACAGGGAAGAAAAAGTCACCATAGACCATGATTCTGAAGGCAGCTTGAAGGCCATCTAATACAGCCCTTTGCCATGCTGGAACTTACTGGTAAAGCACCCTGAGTAAATTCTGTTTAAACCTGATCTGGATCCCACCACCTTCGGAAGTAAGCCATTCCATGGTTGAACAGCTCTTACCAGCAGGCAGCTCTTCCTAATGTTTAGCCGGCACCTCCTTTCTTGTAACTGGAAACCATTCATTGGGGGAGGGAGCAACAGAACACAATCTCACTCCATCTTCTATGGGACAACCCTTCCAAGTAAGGCTAGGCATGTGTGAAGTGATCCCCGCGCCCTGTATGGAGCAGACTTCCCTCTGAGTTTTGAACACCTCCAGGAGAAGATCCTCACATTCCTCTAGCCTCCATTCTAAAAGGGATCTGGAACCAAGGAACAAAACAAGTCATCAAGCCGTTTGGTTGAGTCATGGCACGCTCCCACTATCATCTCAAAAGACAAAGGAAGAAGCCTAGAATGGCACCCGAAACATGTTCACTCTCAAGCCGCTGTTGTGTAACTCCACAGGATTGTCTCCTTTGGGAAGAGAGTAACCTCCTTCACTGCCCTCCCCCAACTGGCAATCCTCTTGGCTTAAGCAATGGCTTGATCTCCTTCCCTCCCACAAAGACCTGAAGCCTGACCCGGTTCTATGTTGCACATCCAGCTACTCCTTTGCCTTGTTGCTTCAAAACCGGTTTTACCTCTCCAGCAGATCTTTGATTCCTGACAGAAGAACAGAATGGCATGTCTTCACTCCCCACACTGGCTGAGGGAGACAACACCCTGAGCCGCCTCCTCCTCTTGCATATTTGCTGCAAGCCAGCTGCAGGAGCCAGGCATAAGCCAAGGATTGTAGCCACCCACCCCCCAATTCCAGAAGATTGGGTCCTACTACAGCAGGGATGAGGCCTGGCCCAAGGAGGGTTTCGGCTGGTGGGCGCAAAGAGAAGGCAGGAAGGCAGGCAGCTGCTCCTTCAGATGAGTGGCATTTTCCAAGGCAAGGCCGAAAGAACCCACTGCTAGCAGTAATGGCTGGAGAGACACTAGAAGAGCGAGAAGCTGGCCGGCAATGCCAGGAACCAGGGTGCTTTTCAGAAAGTGTCAAGACGCCCCTTTGCTCTGCCGAGGCTCACGAAGGGCCTGGCTCTCTCCTGCCAGCCTTGTTAGATCACATCTTGCCAGAGCAGCCGCTCCCGAGGCAGGCAGGCGCGAAGTTTCTCCCCCCCCCCCCCACACACCCATAAGCCCGATAGGGGAAGGGAGGCCGAGGCCTGGCTGAGACAAAGGGAAGCCTTGGCCAGGAAGGCAGGCAAGAAAGCGCCGGCAGCCCCAAGCTTGGGCAGCCCAGCAGCGCTGCCTCCGCCGAGCTCGCCGCCTTTGACAAGAGGCCACGTCGGCCCTCCTGGGCCGCTCCTCCCCCCTTCCCCTCGCCAACCTTTCTAAGGGCGGGGGGGGGGGGGGAGAGAGAAGGAGGCGAGGGAGATTAGCAAGGCTGGCAGACCGGTTTGGCACGTGGGGAGGAGGAGGCCCAGGAAGCCCTTCTCCAGCCCCCAGCGAGCAGAGCTCTCCCGTCCCTGCAGTGCAGGCAACGGGGCTCCTCCTGTCGCCATTCTTTGGCGACACAAAGGGAGCTGGGCCGCCCCCCCCCCCTCCGTCTTTCTCTCCTTCCTTCCTTCCTTCCTTCCTTCCTTCCTTCCTTCCTTCCTCCCTTCCTTCCTTCCTTCCTCTTCCTTCCTTCCTTCCTTCCTTCCTTCCTTCCTTCCTTCCTTTCTGTTTCGCCTCCGGCGCGAGTCCTGTGCCTTTAAGAGCCAGGCTCCCGGGCCTCCCCTCCCCTCCCGCGCCCAGCGGAAAAGCAGGCAGAGGCTGGAGCCCCGCCAGGAAAAAGCAAGGCTGGCAGGCTGTGGTAACCATCTTGCCCCCCCCCCCCTAGGAGAAAAGCAAGAAAGCCAGCCTTGCGTGGTTCCCATTCGTGTTCCACAAACAACACCAAAAAAATAGTAATAACAGTGGAAGAGAGAAGGAAAAAATGTTTGTTTTTTTCTGCCTTGATGGTTAATAGACAAGCTGTTCGGGCAACACCAAGTAGAAAAAGACAGGCGCCATGATAGGAGAGCATGGAGTTGGGGTTTTTGGGAAGCCTCTTGGAGAGCCCGTTGGGCTCCAGGGGTGGTTTGGTTTGCTTCGCCCTCCTCCTCCTCCTCAGGACAGGCTCTTGGAGCTGCAGCGCTGCTCTGGCGGGAGGGAGAGGACGCCTCCATCTTGAATGGCCGCCTCCGAGCTCTTCCTTGCGAAGGGAAGCCCTTGGAGGGCACAGCAGCCAAGGCAGAGCCCCACTCGCCTCTTTTTCCCATGGCAGGGCTTCTCCTCGAGCCTGCGCTTGGAGTTCGGGCTTCCAGATCCTGCTCCCTGCTGCCTACAGGCCGTAGAGCCATTTCCCCCAAAGAAACAGACAGAAAGAGAGAGGGAGAGAGAGAGGGAGAGCAAAGCAAGCTCCCGCCATTGTGGCTTGGCAGGCAGGAGAGTCGACGCCTTCGGAAAGAGGGAGACGGGCTTGCCACCAGAACATTAGCGACCCCCCCCCCCCACACACACACACACACGCAAAGTCCCTCGGAGATCCGCCTTGGTTGCAGAGGCCTGCTCCTGCTCTCGGTTGCCCTGCAAGGGCAAAAGGGTCTACTTACCAAAGTTGAAGGCAGTTCGGAAGGTGACGTGGCGGGGAAGGGGCTCTGGTTTGTTTTTAAGCCTGATTCTAAATAGACCTTGTGTGCTATCGCCTCAGCCCGTTTGCAAATCAATACATCTCCTTCAGCACATATCTCTGGCTTTGACAAAAACAAAAATCAGGTTAGAAGACATCAGCCAGCCCCTGGTTGCCCCTGTCCTGCTCCCCCCTGGATGGGCTGGCCTGGCTCCCTCGGCGGGGCTGCCCAGCCTCCCTCCCCCCCCCCGCCTCTCCTTGGTTCAAGCAGGACCCCCAGCCCCACTCCCCAGGCTCCTGGGCATACAGGCACACGCCTGGCTCATCCTGATGGGATGTCAACATTTCCAGTTCGATCTGGTTGAGCTTCAAAGCAGCGCAGAAACAAATTGGTTCAGATAAACAAGACAAAAAATGACATGCAGATGAAGTTTGGAAAAGAGAGAGATCTATATATCAGGAGAACTGCAGTAACATTAACATGAGAACTACACTTAAAGGACAGAATGGATTGGGTACTTACAATGTAAAGGAAAAACAAAAAAACCTGATCCTAATGGTTTTTGCCAGACTTCACGGCTCCTGTGACCTTGTTAGCACGGAAGGAGGATTGAACTGAGCAAGATGGCCAGGAATGGTAAGTGTTTAATACAGGAAACGGGCTCTCAAACGGGATGGCGCAAGGCAGAGGCCAGCTCTCCAAAAGCAGCCCATCCAAAAAGACACTATGTATTGACTGATTTTGGTCACTCAAAACTGTTACTGCGGAGCCTGACTGAAGGGCGTGCCATGACCTAGTTATATAGGAGAGACAAAGATGGGTTCCAAATCAAAAGGGAAAAATCCAGCTCTTTTTATCAAAGTCGTCCTTCTTCCTTTTGAGTCCTCTACATGGTGTGGTCAGACATTAACACAGACACGGGGCGCGCTCCTGAACGGGACGGGTGGCGTGGCTGCCCTCCAAAGCCAAGGATCCCCCTTTTTGGAACAAAGGAAAGCCCAGTCGGCCATTTAATTCCATTGCAGAAAAATGGCGGCCTCATCTGCTGGCCTCTCCTTAGCTGTCTGCGGAAGGAGGGCGTTCGAGCGGCGCCTAATAACTCAAGCCCCCCGCGAGCCGCGCGCTGATTGGACGCGTCCCGCCTGGAGCCCGCCGCCAGCCAATGACTTCACCGCGTTCAGAGAAGGGGGGGTGAAGGACGCCCGCGCGCTCAGGCAAAAAAAAAGGGGGGGGGTAGAAACACACAACACGACCCCTCCGTTTCGCGAAGCCTTGCGAAGCCGATCCAGGGAGGAGAGGCGGAAAAAGAGGGCGATCCAGTCGCTCCTTCCACGGTCCCAAATGGAAGGTCCGACCTGATTGGCTCCTCCGGTGCTTGAAGCCAACTTGGTCTCCTCTTTCTCCTCCCTAAACGAGAAAGTGACAACACTGGGGCGCCCCCAAGTCCCTCCTTCCATCGGCCCCAAAGTCTCCTTGTCGGGAGGGAGGGAGGGTGGGAAGGGGGGATGTGACTCCAAAGGCAGCAACACGGGGAGCCTGCCCCCTCCCCTCCCCCCCTCTCTCCCCCCCCGCCAAGAAAAGGCTCCCCCGCCCCCCTTGTTTAGGCAGCCTCCTCGCCCTCTCCCTCTGCCTCTCTCTGGGTAAATGTATCCGGCAGATTCGTCGGGGGGCGGCGGGGCGGGGCGTTGCTGGGCGCCGCGGGGGGCGATGGGCGTTGCGGGGGGCGGGGGCCGGGCGCGGGGCGGGCAGGGGGGCCTGCGGGGCGGGGGGGCGGCCGGGCCCCGAGGAGGAGCGCGCCGCAGCTGCCGGGAATGTGCCGCCGGCGGAGGGCGGTTAGCCATTAGCCCCAGCGCCGGAGCGGGGCATTGTGGGATGCCTCGGAAGCCAGCGAGAGAGCGCGCACACACACAATATGTGTTGGCTCGCGAAAAAAAAAAGGAGGCAGAGAGGCTTGGGAGCCCGCTGTAATGTAGGCAGGAGCAGCCCGATGTGAAGCGGGAGCTCGCCTTTCGCGGCGATCCGGCGCCGAGGCACCATGTCGTTCAAAGAGATCAAGGCAGGAGAGAAAGCCAAGCCCGGCGGAGAAGACCATGGCAAGAAGCAGGCTCCGAGTGAGAGAGGGAGACGGAGGGAGGCAAAGAGAGAGAGGGAGAGAGGGCCCTGGCTTTTCTCCTTCCCGGCGGAGCTCCGGCTCGACGCAGCCCATGGCCGCCGCTGGTCCTTTGGCGGGGAGGCGGGGGGGGGGGGGGGGGGGGGGGGGGGGGCGGCTTGGCGGAACGGGGAGAGAAGCGGGCTTGGGCTTTGAACTTTGGTGACTTGCCCCTTTCCTTCCTCCCTCCCTCCCTTCCTTCCTTTCTTCCTCTCCTTCCCAGGTTGGATCAACGGAATGGAGAGCAGCTCCCAAGCCAGCACCTCCGCCGAGAAGAAGAACCACCATTGGAAAAGTTACAAGTTGATTATTGACCCGGCTCTGAAAAAAGGACAGCACAAACTCTATCGTTACGATGGGCAACATTTTAGCATTCCTGTAAGCGTTCTTTCTCTGCCCCCTCCCCCAAAAGCACCCCCCTTCCTTCCTTCCTTCCTTCCTTCCTTCCTTCCCTCCCTCCCTCCCTCCCCCCCTCCCCTGTCAGCTTCCCAAACGCAGCTCCTTGTATACCTTCCCTCTCTATCTCTTGAGGGGTGGGAGGGGGCAACTGAGAATGACCTCAAGTGAAGGCTGCTGCCATCTATCTATCTATCTATCTATCTATCTATCTATCTATCTATCTATCTATCTTAAATTCAAAATAGGAAAGTAGCTGGTGGGAATGGGAGGCAGAAAGCTACAGCCTCCTTCATGCTGGGCTTTGCTGCAGAAGGGCTCTTTGACATGTGGGCCTCTGCCCTGCCAGGAGAGCCTTCCTGCCTTCCTTGCCTTGGGCTCCCCTCCCCAGGTGGTGCCTTTTTGCAGGAGGGGCCTCTGTCTGGTGGACTTGAGAGAGTGTTTCCATTCCTCCTCCTCAGAATTCGGGCCTGGCCCCTGTGGATTGTGTCCGAGACCCCAGGATAGGACGCATATGGACCAAAACGAAGGAGCTGGAACTGGCAGTCCCCAAATTTAAGGTACCTGCAGCGTGCACTCTTTCTTGGTCATGGTTGTGTCTGCTTGAGTCCTACACACTTCTCAAATAGTGTCGAGCAATGCATAATGTTCTGAAGATAGGAGCATACTGTTTATCCTGTCGCTTGTCCAAAGTGCTCTTGCTCAGGAACTCTTTTGAGTCTCTTGTGGGAGGGATTGTAAATAACTTCTTGTATATACTCCATATCTTTACCAGTATTGTGGTCTTAAGGAAGGAGAGTGTCTCTCAAGTTCAAGAGCTGTTTTGAAGCCATGTCTTTCCTGACGGGTCTTGCTTTCCTCTCCCCTTCCTTCCCCTTGGCTCTCCCGCTGCCTTTCGTGCCCCAAAACGCCCCTCCAGATTGACGAGTTTTACGTGGGGCCCGTGCCTCCCAAGCAAGTCACCTTTGCCAAGTTGAACGACAACATCCGCGAAAACTTCCTGGCAGACATGTGCAAGAAGTACGGCGAAGTGGAAGAAGTGGAGATCCTCTACAACCCAAAGAACAAGAAGCACCTGGGGATTGCCAAAGTGGTCTTTGCCACGGTCAAAGGGGCCCGGGAAGCGGTCCAGCACTTGCACAACACCTCTGTCATGGGCAACATCATCCACGTGGAGCTGGACACCAAAGGTGGGAAGTTGGGCCTGAGCCACTGCCTCCTCCGCTTTGCCCTCTGCCCTTCTCCTGCCACTTCATGCCTCTCTCCTGGAGGGAGAGGCATTGGTTGAGGGGCTCTTGGGTGGGTGGGTGGGTGGGGAGGGCTCCCCTTGGGCTGAAAGGCCCCAGTCTGAAAGGCCTGTCACTCTGCTTCCCCCTCGAACTCCCTGCTCTTGCTCTGGGCCTGTGGTAGTCGGTCACGTGGAGCTGAGTGTGTTGTCTGTTGCTAGGAGACAGTCCTGTAATTTACAAAATGCTGCCATCCTCTCCATTTCACTCACTCATTCATGCTGACACTTGGCCTGCCAAAGGCTCTCCCTTCACCCCTTTGCCAAAAGGGCTTTTTGCCCTTTGCTAGCAACTTTTTTTTACAAAAAAAAAAAAAACCAAACAAGCAAACAAACCTGAGGCTAAGGAATTAATTGTTGAAAACTTATGACAAATATCTTCACAATATTCTCTGTCATACATATAGAAGTGTTCTGACCTATCTTTAAGTCACAATCTACATAGGGACAGGAGTTTGAAAAATCCTTTTCCCCCCCTTTGTCTCTTAAAGAGACAGTTACCCTTTTGTTCTTTAAAACAAATGGCCTGGAGTGCTGACAAGGCAAGGCCAAAACAATGCCATTAGCATGGTAAGTTTGGATACTGTTATGTTTGTAGTTCCTAAAACTTTACAACCAGATGTTTATTTTGATTGTTTTGGTTTCTTCTGAGTATCATTTTCCTTTGACTGAAACACTGTTAAAATACAGTTCAGGCCAGACTGTTACTTTAACATACAAGGACTGATTTGTTATTTGCTTCAACTACCAGAAATCTCCCCCTGGCTGAATTGTAACAAGTACTGCACGTGTTTCAATGTAAAGTAAATGCTTAGAAAGCATGTATAAGTAATACATTAGTCTCATGTCAAGGAACATTGCCAGCTTCCTTTTTTTGTCCTAAAATATGTTTATGCTGGAGTTTTGCAACCACATGTATTTTGAACTCCCAAACACATTTTCCCCTGCTGTTGAAACTTGGTGTTTGTTTTCCTAGTCCTAGTGCAACTATTTTGATCTCTAGGTGAAGATGACCATTGGTGTCATGGTATCAATGTACACATGTCAGAGAATGAGATTTATAATTTCTTCCAAGGAAAAATAAATGTTTTGAGAGGAAATATGTCAAAGCAGGCCAATTAGATGGATGTATTATCCAGTGTTTTCTCAACATTTATCCTGAGCAGCCACTGCATTGGGACACAAGCTGTGATCCTCATCTACAGAGAGTAGGGTGTAATCACTGAACTACACCAAAGTTGGTGTCTTGAGCTCTGCATTGTGAATCATTTATAATCAGAGCCCTGTATCTGTTAAGATGGAATGCTTAAATTTCATTCTGATTTTTTTGTTTTGTTATAGTAAGCTTTTGCTAGTACTGATACTGAACAAGCTTTCTGTGAGATTCTAATGCTAGCCATTTCAGTCTTCACCTTTCCAGGGTTTATGACTTAGTTACATGACATCTAATTTGTACGCAAGATAATATATGTACATGTAGATTAGTTGTCATCTAATTTTAAAACCCAAATCACCCCCATTGCCAACTTTATTGTTTTGTACCTTCAAGTCATTTCCAACCTATGTTGATCCTAAGGCCAACCTTTTCTTTTTAACCAAATCCTATAATTAAGTTCAAAAAAGCCTCTATACCCTAAAGGCCCCAAATCCCATCTGATCTTGGAAGCTAAGTATGGTCAGCCTTGGTTAGGATTTGGAAGGGGGACCAACAGTGACTACCAGGTGCTTATACACACAACTTATATGCCCCTGGGACTCCAGTATGGGTGAAATGGTACACCGTGTTCTGCTGTATGGCCTATGCTTTAAGGATATTTGTTCCCAAATTGTAGATATGGTTTTGAAAATGTTCCTGACAGATCTGTTAGCATTTTTGTTGCCTTGCTTCTTTCAGATTCCTATAAAGAATCTGTGGTGAGGGATTGCAAAGTTGTGTATGGTATCATATTCCACTAGGAACAATGTGGTCAAATCTCACCTTAATCCAATGAAGGCTATTTAGTAGTGATACATATGGATATATACAAGATTTGTTGTTCTTGGGGATGTTTTTTATCCTTAATTTTCTACTATGTTCTGTTTTGGTCCTTTTATGACTGGTCTGAGATAGTAATAAAGTCGAAAAAGCAAGGATTATCCTTCCCTGCACTTTTCCTAGTGTGACTCCATAGATTGATATAATGATATCGGTAGTGTTCTTTTCATCCATTTCTCTAACCAACATCTGCTTGACTGTAAAGTTTGCTAAGTGTTGCCATGAGCATTCCTCCTGAGTTGCCTCAAAATAGTTGTATTTGGCAGAATAGTTGTGAATGGCCTTAAGCTTGAGACTGGCGCTCATTCAATTTTTTTCAGTGCACACATCAGAGCCTAGGACTAGCTGTTAAGACCTGGGACACTTAGATTCTGGCAATGGCTTGTGAGCAGCAGCCTTCGCTGGGTGTCCTGATCTGATTTATACCTGTGAGGAACCAAGTCTAACCAATTCAGGGAAGCTTGTTCTGAAGCAAGTGTGTATGTGGTTGCAGCATTATCTGTAGGAAACAAATGGCTCTTTTGGGATCTCTGTTTTTACTAGACATTTGTGTAAGATTTTTTTTTTAAATGAAAAAGGCCCAAGTGATTTAAATATCAGATTATGAAGAAATTGGTTTCATGGAACTCAACCAGTGTTTATAAAATTGGGCCTGTCCTATTTGAAGATTTACACTCTGTAGCTGCTGATGCAGATAGACACCAGTGGCTTTTTTTAAAAAAAAGAGTCCCATCTCTAAAAATGTTGGTCATCTGAAATCTTGTCAGAAGTGAGAGAGTTAATTTTGGTTTGATGTTGAAAAAACAGGTACTTGTTGATAAAATATCCCCAAATCTGCAAGGAAACAAAAGGTATCCCAACCTAGCTCTAACATGTTCCCTTTCCTAATAGATCACTCTTTGCTCTTTTCAAAGTGAGTCATTTGGGATTAGATCTCCTGCCTTAGACAACATTGAAGGTGAAGTAGTGTAATGGTTGGAGTGTTGCTTTGGAGAGACCTAAATTCAAGCCTCTGCTTAGTCAGGAAGCTCTGTGAGTGACATTGAGCAAGTTACTGTTTACCCCATAAGATTGTTGAAGGATAAAGTGAAGGAGAGCATGTTTGCAGTTGAGTGGTCCTCTGAGTCAGGATGGGGTTTTAATTTTTTTTTAATGTCAGCACAGTTGTTTGCATTTTCTGCAAAGATGGTGGTGTCCCGTCCCCCCCAAGTCTGTCAGGCTGATGTGGCAGCTGTTCAGCCTCAGTTTGCAAAGACTTGCACAAATGTGGATTCTAGTTAGACTGTGGTAGTTTTCACAGTTAAATACTATGTGAGTTGAAGTGTGTCAATACTAATAATAACAATAATGATGATGGTGATGTTGTTGTTTGGCCAGGTGAAAAGCGCATGCATTTTTATGAGCTCCTTGTGAATGGACTCTACACTCCTCAGACCCTTCCTGTGGAGAATGAGCCAGAGGCATCCTCTCCTGTGAATGAAGCCCTTCAGGTATTTATTTGGCTTTGTCTTGTTGTCATGTCATACACTGTCTTTAATAGGGAATATCTTAAGATGATCTTCATTTGCAACAAATAGTAGTTTGTCTGCAGTTGCCTGTCATTCTCAAGCAACACATTCTTCACATTCTTGCCCATACAGCTGTCATCTTCAGACACCCTTTTGGAGTAATGCATTAGAATGAGGGGGGATCACAATGAAGCTACAGATACATCTGAAACTCTTATTTAGAATCCTGCTAAGTTGGATTCATAGTTTGGATGCTGCAGCGAAAGAATATGTTATGACCCTGTAGCTCATCTTGTGTGCAGAGTCTGGCAGGTCAAATTTGTCCTACTTCCCATTCTTAAAACTTAAGGTTTTAATCTGTGTAGCAAATAAATGTTAGTTTAACAAACCACAGGTCACACATGGTTGTTTTGTTTTTGAGATTTTTTTAATGTGTTGCTATAAAATACACCCTCCCCAAAGATCTTAGACAGGCCTCTACGTTGGAAGTCTTTAGGAAGAATTTGAAGACCTGGCTGTTCCGATGTGCCTTTCCAGAATAGGAAATCTCCAACAAGTCCCAAAAGCACTTTAGTAGAAATTAAGATTGTTGGCACACTGCACTTACCCTATAATCCTACATATCACCTGTCACATCAGCACTTTTAATCTGTACCCATTACTCTGGTCTGGCCCAGTTTTATTGTGTCTCGGTGTATTGTTTTATTGCTTGTTGTTTTAATATTGATTTAAGTGTTTTGATTTGCTTTAGGTTGTGTATTGTTATGCTGTGTTTTGAGGCCTTGGCCTTTGTAAGCCGCATCGAGTCCTTCGGGAGATGCTAGCAGGGTACAAATAAAGATAATAATAATAATAATAATAATAATAATAATAATAATAAAAAAAAATACAATAGTAACGATTTTATTTATATTTTATGTTATGCTACCTTCATTATTTAAAAAATGCATTTATTCTGAGTCTTGCTTATATGCATATATATTTAAATTAATTGGGGTTTTTTTGGCTGGAAGGCCATTGATGGGTTAGCGAAGGCTGCAGTCTCATGTCCCAGTAGCGAGCACCTCCTTGGGACAGGAGAACATATGGCCCACCCTCAGAATCTGTTTATAGTGGATCCCTTCCCCTGCTGGGGCCAAAATTGCAGCTACTAGTGAAGGAATTGTAGAAATCCTAGTGTTTCTGTTGGGGAGCAGAGCTTGTGTGGCGCATACATGATATTTCCCAGTAGGCCCAATGCTGCTGACAGCTCTTCCCAAACAGCTGTTCGACAGCCTGTTGGGATCCTGATTTGAAGAAGGCATGTAGGGAGCACACACCCCTGCTTTCCTAGCAGAATTAATGGGGTTTGGGCAGCAGCTGCAGTAGGAAGAAAGACTCAGACAGGGAGGCTGTTCAAATGACCACAAAGAGTAGTGTTTGTATAACATGTTGTTATATGTATGTGCATAGGAAAAATCTCATTAACTTTAATGGGACTTCCTTCCGAGTGACATTCGTAGACTTGGATTGCAACCCATCTGTAGTGATGAGAATATTTCACAAGAATTGTGAGGATTTATATTCAAGGCCCTGTCAAGTCATCCCCTTTCTGGTGTCCTTGGTCCAACTAATATCAGCCTGACTTGTCACATAGGGGAGTTGTGGGGTTATATATTTATGTATACTGCTTACATATGATTGAAACTGTCCTGAGCTGTTTCTAACTGATCCGATCTTAATGTTTGATCTCCAGTTTTCTTCTTATTTGTGTGTGCTGATATTACTGTCATACTACTTTGCAGAACAAATAGTTAAACTGTGGAATTCACTGCCACAAGAAGCAGTTGTGGCTGCTAGCTTTAAAAGGAGATTGGAAAAACTGATGGAAGGTGATGCCTTCAGTGGCTGCTTGTCATGATGCTCCAGTTTCAGAGGCAATGTGCTCCTGTGTCCAGTAGCTGGAGAACATGAATAAGAAGCTGTGGTTGCACTTATGTCCTGATTGTGGCCTTTCTTTTGAAGCGCCTAGTTGACCTCTCTGTGAACAAAATACTGGATTAGATGGATCTTTGGTCTGATGTAGCAGAGCTCCTCTAATTCTTATACCTTTTTTACTTACACTCGTTCTTAGACATTTTCTTTGAAGCTGCAAAACAAACTTTAAAACAAGAAGTGTTCAGGTTTATTTGAACTAGAAAAATTGTATAAATAATGAACTTTGAATTTGTCGGGATCCCTAGATCTAAAGGGAAGTTGGAAAGGACCAGACGCAGGGCTTTTTCTATTTCTGCCCCTGCCTTGTGGAATTCCTTGCCGCCCTACATGAGAGCCATGCGTGACTTATGGCCTTTTACTCTCGCACTTAAGACCTGGCTTTTTACTAGAGCATTCGATCTCTGTTGATTTTTAATTTTTGTATGTATGTATTTTATCTTTTGTAATTTAGCTGTAAATCACCTGGAGCATTCTCGGATGGAGGGCGATTAATAAAGTTATTAAATGATGATGATGATGATACCCATCATCAGAGTGTGTTGCAGAATTAGAGCTCCAGAGTTTATTCAGGCTGTGTTCAATACACAGTTTGTGAGGGTGGCAATTAATCAATTAATTAAAAAAAACATCAAAAAGTAGATTGCAGGGAATTCTAGCTATCCATCCCATGCAAAAAACACCCCAACCTTTAGGTTCATAGTATAATCATGGACGTTAACTTCTTCAAGGGTGAGTAATGATGGGAAATACTGAATCTCAGTTACTTGATTATTTGATTCTTTAATGTTTGGTTTTCTTGACCATGGTTTGGTCTGCCCTGTTAGCCTCATGATCATCCCATGAAAAGTAGGGATAGTGGTGTTTTTAAAAAACAGGCACTATCTGGTCAGTTCTGTGCTATTTTACAGCTTCTTGTTCTGTTCTGAAATTCAAGTCTTAGTCTGTTTGGAAAAGCTGCTGAAAAGGAGTTCAAACTAAATTTTAATTGAGAGCGCTTGGTTGGCTGGGCCCGTGGCTCTTGTAAAATCTATAGCTGGAAACATTCCAGCTGTCCTGTTGTGTGTTCAAAGATAGTGCTTTTTTTTTACTCCGCTATTTAGCAACAAACTCTTTTGTAGGTTGTATCTTTACCTGCTGGTATATGCACCCATGTGCGCGCAAACACACACCTGTTCTGTATTAGAATTATTTAAACGATTGGTAGATTAGATGAAAGGGTGGTTTCAGGAACGTCTTGTCCTGTGAATAATCCTGTTAGCCACAATAAGGCTGGCAGTGAGGTACACTGTTTAGGTCTGTGTGCAAGAGTTCTGGAGGTGTGTGTTTGTGTACATATCATTTGGTGTCTGGAGTTACACTTGGCAGTTGCCCATTCGCTTAGGAGTTTGCTGGGCCCTTGCTCAAGCCATCAGCAAGTGACAAAACAGCCCAGTGGGATGATTTGTTTGGAATACTTCCCTTGAAATGTTGACTGATTTCTTTCTAGAATTAGTTGAAGACAGACTGATGCCTAATCGTTTTAGTTCAGTAATGCTTGTTCTCTCTTTTTTCTCTCTCTTCTGTATGTGAAATGACGAGTGGTGAGTGGCTGAGGATCAGCATGCTACCTAGATACTACAATGGGAGGGATTAGAGGAAGAGAAGCTGAAGCCCAGATACTAGCCTTTTTTCGTTCAGCGCCACTGTAACAATTAGTGATGTTGTAGACACGGAGACAACAGAGACACAAACATAGCAAAAAAACTGTATCAAGTTCTATCACATCTTATTTATTACATGTATAAAATTGTTTCCATTTTTTCTTTGGGTCCTTCAAAATGCCCCCAGCAGTTTGCCACAGTAATGATAATGTGTCAGCTGTATAGTTCTGGGATTCTGGAGAGTTGTAGTCCAACGCACATAGAAGAGGTTATACAAGGGAAAGATGACATATACTCAGGTTACAAATTTAATACAGCTATGAGCAACTATCTTTTTCCTTAGGGATTTCTACAATCCTATTATGTTTTTCACTTCCTAGAAAATAACAGTGTCTAAAACTTCACATAGTACATTTCTGTTATCTGGTAGTTATGATAAGGTTTACACTGAAATGTATGCATATTTTCTTGTTTCTTGTTTACAGTTGGCTGATACTCTGAAACGCCTAAAAGACAGTAGCCTTTCTTCCGTGGGATCATCAGCTACCCCCAACAGTAGCACCCCATTTTCCCACGATACAGCCTTTTCAAGTTGTCGACAAGATACACCCAACTCTTTCAGCCAGTTCACGCCTCAGTCCCAAGGAACCCCTCTCACCCCTCGCCTGGGGACTCCATTTTCCCAAGACTCTGCATACTCTAGTCGCCAGACCACGCCAGCATACCATTTTGGACAGGACTCCGGATATAAACCCAGGAGACATGAAACAAAATTTACGGATGCCTACAATCGACGCCCAGGCCATCACTATGTCCATAACTCAGTGGGTGCTTTTCGGAGCTCGGAACATCAGTTCAGTGCATTCAAGCCCCATCAGCAAGAGACTGTGCAATACCCCCACACTTCTCCGTTGAGCCACTCAGGTTCTTCAACATTCAAATCAGCCTTCTCCCCATACCAAGCCCCAGCAACATATCCCCCTCCTGAAGAGCCACCGTTTCCTCAAACGTCTAGGGACTTAGAGTACCGACGGCCACCTCCACCACCAACAGAGGTGGTAGTTGAAAGTAGCTCAGCTACCACTGTTGATTTTGTGCCTGTGAAGGAAAAGCCTGAGGAGCCGCCACCTTTGCCAGAGTCCAAAAGTCTTAATGAACCAACAACAGTGGCAGCCTTCTCACAGACTCCAGAAAGGAGTGAGACTCCAGGAACCCCGACCACAGAATCTGAAATTCAGCATAACAGTTTAGACTCACGGATTGAGATGCTCTTAAAAGAGCAGCGATCCAAGCTCTATTTTCTCAATGAGCATGACTCAGACAATGAAATTCGAATGGAAGGTAGTCCCATCTCCTCCTCCTCTTCCCAGCTTTCTCCAATCCCAAACTTTGGTTCCAACTCCCAGCCCAGCTACAGAGCACAAACACCTTCCTCGCGTCCTTCTAGCACTGGCTTGGAAGACATCAGCCCAACACCATTGCCTGATTCAGATGACGATGAGCCGATTCTTGGAACCGCTTCTCTCATCCAAAATGCAAGAGGCACATCAGATGCTAGCATGACTCCTGTTGATCAGCTGAATAGGACATCCAAAACAGAGTCCTCTGAGGCTAAAGAAATGCTGCCTTCTAATGATAGTCCAACTCCTGAACAAATGGAAGAGGTAAGTAATTTGGCTAGATAGCTTTCTTTGAGAGCTATGGAGAGCCTTTGGTCTGGGAATTGTATTTCTGATTTATGTTGTCTGGAGTTGCATCCAATAATATCTGTATGTGTATGCACAGATGTGCACATACTCATATTCATGTGCTGTACACTGTTGGTGAAATAAGAGCTGTGAAGCTACCTGTATGCTATGTAATCCAGCCTTGGCATACTGAACCTGATTAGATTAAACCAGAGACAAAAGAGAAATTTTCTTTCCATGTTGAGACTTTAATGTGCCTTTAAATTGCTGGTCTACAAAAGTAAATATTCCAATCAATGCAAGATGAAGTCCCTGTGCTGAAAACATTCTCCTCTACATTAGCTCCATTGAGTTTGTTAGAAAGCGTTTTCTGAAACCAGGAGAGAAGGGGGGCAAACGGTGTGTTTTCCATACTGCTGTTATACTGTTCTTCCCATGGGCAACAATCTTTAGCTGGGCTTGCTTTTGTCACTTAAATTTCTACCAACTCTGTTTTTTTTTAAGTTGTGAAAGTTCACAGGCTCTTTTTATTTTCTTCGTAGTTTGCTTTAGATTTTTGTAAGCATTTAAGCGTTATGCTGTTTTGAAATACATAGCTGTCACAACCCACAGAGGGGGAAAGGATTGCATTGAGGGAACACATGAAAAGGGGACTTGCTGTATTTTCAGGGGCTCTGTGGAAAAAAGCAGGGAGTCTCCCCTCTAGAAGGTAGTTCTTAATTTAGAAAAAGATAATACTTTTCCTGTTATGCCTTCCTGGTAAGGATTAGGCTTGACAGTTCTTTAGTAACATATAGTTTATGTGGATTGGCATTTTAAAAAATCTATCAGACTACATTGTTATAATGCTGTATTGTACTTTTAACTGTCATGCCAGCATTGCAAGACATTCTGAGACTTGATATTTAAGGAATATTTGGCATTCACAGCTAGATGGGTCTTGGGCCTTGTTGTTTGTAGGTGCTTTCAGGTCATTTCTAATTTATGGCAACCCCAAGGGAAGCTTATTACATGGTTTTCTCGGCATGATTTAGTCAGAGAGGGATTTTGTTTGCCTTCCTTTGAGGCTGAGAGAGTGTGAATTGCCCAAGATTACTTAGTGGTTTTTCACAGCTGAGCAGGGTTTCCACACCTGAGCAGAATTATAGACCAGTGTTCAAACCACGCTTGGGCCTTACTAAATTACAAACCCAAGAATTCCAGAAAATTCTGCCATGGCAGTTAAAGTGGAATATAGCACTATAAAAGCATAGTGTGATAGGGCTCACATTATGAACTTGGTATGGTTTAGCTATCAAGCAGCAAACCGAAGTAGGATTCCATTGTATGTTCACTTTAACATAACACAGAGATTGGGACCCATTAACTCCTCCCCCCTCCCCCCATGTCTTTCCCAGCCTGTTGCTCTGCTTGGGCTTGTGTGTGCCTGAGTGCATGCCTTCTTCTGGAATCTGTCATTTCATTGACATGGGCTCCTGACTTTCCCTTAATGACCTCTCTCTTTTTAAGTGACTGCTGATTTCAGTTTGATGGCTTACTTTTTTGATTGTGCGCATGTAGAGGCGGGTTGTGTAGAGGCAGATCGGGCCTAAACTGAAATAATGATTTCAGCCCTCTTTAGAAACATGAGCTGCAGTTTTTCCAGGTTGCAAATGAGTTGGAAAGGAGAGCCAGGCCTTAGCCTATGACTGGGCTGGAAAGCAGAGGGTTGGGTTTCAGCCTATTGTGAAGCTGTTGTTAGTATCTATGCTTTCAGATAAGTCCTGTACAAGACAGAAGCTAGGCTAGAATATATCTCTAGTGTCTTGGTCAAAAAGAAAGGTCTCAGTAGTTCCACCACTTTATCAAAAGGAGATTACTCCTATTTAAAAAAGGGGGCTGTCAGTTGCCTTAATTTTTTTTTGTTTTTTCCATGATTCACACAATTTTAGCAAATAAATGCTATTACAAGGCATCCAGTAGCAGCGGTTTCTATGCTTGTAATTATGCCAGCTCTGAGGTTTCAGAAGGTTGTGGGGGTCTCATTTTATTTTTATCTCTTTCATATGGATAACCCACCCCCAAAACCTTAAGAGCCTTAGCTTTGTGTCATTAAGCAAACTGTTGCCACTAACATGGTAGAAATGCCAAACTATAAACCAAAGTTACCATATGTCTTCCTTCCACCTATAGTTTGTTATATTTTTATGTAGCCCTTTTTGTTTATCCTAGAAACAAGAGTCTTCACTACCTTTGTCTAACAGTTTGTAATTTTCTCATTCTTGAGGCTACTCAATGTGACTGTCAGATAGTGATCAGAAGGCAGGTCCCTCCACCGAAGGCCAGTGGCCATCTCCACCACACACCATACTTTGTACAATTGGATACATATTGTTAAAGCCAATATACTTGAAATCAAATGCATGGGGCTATCCCACCATTAGTCCCCTGCTTTAGCTTTGTAACAGATTCCAGCATGGTTCCACACATACACATGCGTGCGCGCACACATACACACATACATACATACATACATACATACATATATATATATGCATGCACACACACACACAGTATGTTGTGTGAATGAGAAATCCCACAGATTCTAGAAGTTAGGGATACAATGGTGTCTCCCAGTTGCCATTACAGATCACTGGCAGAGACCTGCTATGGTTTTATTCCAGTGTTCACACAGCTGGTGGAGTGCCTCACTGAACTTACTGGGATATCCTTTCACAGCCGTTCTTACCATTAGACAGCAAGAGGCACCTTAAAATCTGATTCTAGGTTCAATAAAAGAGCAGCAAATGGTCTGTTAGTTTATCAGTTGCTATAGCCTGGGTGGAAAGAAGAATTGTCTATGGCTCATACCAAAATAGGTGGCTTGTTTAGGGTGCCAGACAGCATGACTTGAATGGATAGACAATTTGTTGCTCAGCCTCAGGGTAGGGCCTTTTCACCTGCACCCATTATATGTTGACACATTTTCCAAAGTGAGTTTAGGCTGGTGATAGTAGACATCACTATGTTTGGCCTGATGTGTCATGGCCAAGGTCTCCCCTCCTGGACCAACCTGCACTTAGATGCTTTAGCTTCCTCTTTTAGTAGTGAATTCCCATCCTTTGATGGTACCTTGTGCTGCCCTGTGTCTTTTTCATCTGTTTAGGGAGACTTTGCATGACAAAAGTGGGAGCTCTCGTCCTATGCTGCACCTGAAACTTTTTAAAAACTGATATGGGGTACAAATGAGTTGTGTACAAAAATTAGTGTGCTTTTCGAAGTTCTGATATGCAAAACTAGTGCAGAAGAATGGATGTTATATTTATTGATCTAGACATTATTAGTCAGAATTTTATCTATAATTAATTACACCTCCCCTCTCTTCTGTCTCCTGTTGTTCAGATGCCTGGTTTCCATTTTGCCAGTAAAATGCAATTAAGTAAATTTGTTGGAGTGGTAGTATAAGGGTGTGAAGTGTAGAAGAAAGTGTTTTTCCTTTCACTGGACTGTATAGAACCTAAAATTTGAATAACTGAGTGATTTCTTCTGTTGGTCTTGCAAGTGTTACATGGTTTTGCAATGTGATGAACTGTATGCCAGCAGTAAGAAAATCTATCTAGGAAATGTTGTAGTTGTTGGCTCTCAGCTGTTAGCTTTCTTCTTTAGGAATAACTCCACATCCCAACTTTGATTGCTTTCTGGTTCAGCAGAGCTCCTTTTATTTCAGAGACGTTTTACTTGCGACCCAATGACATCTTGACCCAGAATCCTAAGAAGATGACAGACAGTGTTGTGGCTTCTAACTAAGCTCCCTAAGAGCAACCTAGTTATGTGTTTGGGCATTCTGTGATTATTCTACATGTAGAGAACTTAGAAGTGCTGTGTTACCTCAACCCACTGAAACTATCAGAGGAAAATTATCTTTTGTGAATTTAACTAACAAGTGATGTTTAGTCAAAGAACAGTAGAAAGACAGTTGTGGTTGTAGGCAACAGTGCTTCTTTCATTCGCAAGTATCAGACTGAGGCTTTGAGGCTTTCAAAGTTTGCATATTTATTTATTTATTTATTTACTTTGCTTATATACCGCTGTATCTCAAGCCCGAAGGCGACTCACAGCGGTTCACAAACAGTAAAAACAGTAGAAACAGCAGTGGTTCCATGCAACATATAACAATTGACTTAACACATTATCCATAAATTACCAATAAGCAATTACAATGCACAATTATTACGAAAAACAACCGTACCCAATCTTCTCATCATCCAAGCGTAGTCCAGGTTCGTCGTCCATTGTTCCATTCCTATGTTCCATTACCAGATTGCACTAAATTACTCAAACGCCTGCACAAACATCCAGGTCTTCACCTTTTTGCGGAATACCATTAGAGATGGTGCTAGTCTAATGTCCGTAGGAAGGGCGTTCCACAGCCGAGGAGCCACCACCGAGAAGGCCCTATCTCTCGTCCCCACCAGCCGAGCTTGAGAAGCATTACAAAGTAATGTTGCCAGAACTGACTATATATTTGGGGGGACTTTAAAAAAATAGCATTGGAAAGTTTGGGGGCAGCAACCCCTAGTTAACCACAAGAATTGCATCTGCTTTGTATTTAAAAATGGATTTTTTTCTAGTTACCCGTATATACTCGAGTATAAGCCAACCCAAATATAAGCTGAGGTACCTAATTTTACCATCAAAAACTGGGAAAACTTATTGACTCGAGTATAAGCTGAGGGTGGGAAATGTAGCAGCTACTGGTAAATTTCAAAATAAAAATAGATACCAATATATTACATTAATTGAGGCATCAGTACGTTAAATGTTTCTGAATATTTACATAAAACTCTAATTTAAGATAAGACTGTCCAACTCTGATTAAACCATTATTCTAACCTTCTTCAGTGTAAATGTGCTTACGTATCTTTGCAATAATAATAGAGTAAAATAATAAATGTAATAAAATAATATTAAGAGTAAAATAATGAAATGTAGTAATA